GCAAAAGTTTAAGTTGGCTTGGCATTGTGTAATTCTCACGTGTTCCAAAGCTGCACTTTTGAATTTCTGACAATTAAGCCAGCTTCAGGGCCAAAGCGGGCTCTCCCGTACACTTCTTCAGCATTTCGAACCTAGCTGTTTCGTCCAACTTTGAAAGTTCATATCTTTCTCATCCAAATTCTATTTTGTACATTCTTATAATAGTTGAAAATTTTAAAATGTCTAATTTTACATAAATTAATCCTTGAGACAAAACCCCAATTATTGTTTGATTTATTCTTAAAAGGTAGAGATGTTAGTGTGGTGGGTTGGGATAAGAAGCCTATCGTTGTCATCAATTGGTGGCCACATTCCCCCTACCCTTTAGTGGGATAGCACTGAATTCCTGGGAGGCTAAAATTAGATGAGCGATGCTAGGGGCACTCGCTTTTCGCACTCTCCGACCAACACTTCCCCTCTCATTGGGCCACGTAAGCTTCTTTAAAGTTTTCAGCGCAACTTCTCGGGAGCCAAGTTAACGTGGCCCAATAAAAGAGAAAGTGTTCACCGGAGAATGCGAAAAGCGAGTGCCCCTAGCATTGCCCAAAATTAGATATGTTAAATAAGGCTCAAGATTCCTCCCCTTTTTTTTGGCTTTCTTTAGAGATTTATGTTCGAAATTTTTTTGTCTGTTCTTTTGTTAATTAATAAGTAATTTTGATTTAATAAAAAGGGTGGTGCCATTGGTACAATTTTTTATCCTATTTTTTAAAAAAAATTTCAAAAGGTAATAAAAGAAGAAAAGGAATTAAAAATAACAAATTTAAAAAAATAAAAAAAACTAATCATTTTAATGATACGTCAGATTGTACAAAAAAGTAAAACAAAAAAATTATCCTAATAACATTTTCCTTAATAAAAATATGTTGATTTGAGTTAATTATTTTAAAATGTTAAGATATGTTTTAAAAAAATATTAAGATATGCGTGTGGCTCCTAATTATTGTGATTGTATATGGGATAGTTAATGTACCCCTAAACTCAATAGAAAAAGTGTGGCTATGAGAGTTTAAATATGTATTGAAAGTTAAGTCCCCTCTCACTCCAACCTATCGAGAGTCCTCATTCATGTTATGCTTTAAGAAGAAAAAGTTCTTAGCACATTTTAAAAGGGTGATGTTATTATCATATTTTTAATTATTAATATTATATTTTTTATTTCAATTAATTATTATAATTTTTTTCTTATTAAAAAAAAAATATATAAAAGATTGGGTTTTTTCAACTTTTCGATCTATTTTTTGATTTATGTTATGTATAAAAAAGTCGGTAGATAAGTGGACTGCGACAACAATATACAAGAGAGGGATAAA